TGATAAAACACGTACAGAAGTTCTTGGCGCATTTTCCATTATTTGTTGGACATTTTCTTTTAATTCTTCAGTCCGCTTTTTAGGTCGGCCGCTTCCTTCTTTTCTTGTTACACTGCCCGTTTCACGAAAAACATTAACACAACGCTGAACTGCACTTTGAAAAATTTTGTACTCAACAACGCCGGGAAATTGATTTTGAAATTCTATGAAACATTCCTCAATAGAATACTTCCATATTCCATCAATCTTGCGTCCATTTCTAAAGTAGGACTCTATGATAAACACTTTTTGTTCTTGAGAAAACACCATTTTAAACGCTTTTTAAAACGAAAATATTCAAATTGATAGGGGCGATATAGCGCTTTGACAGATGACGTTTAAGTTCATTTGCTGTACGCTACGCCCTACGTCCAAATTTTCAGAACCAACTTGACCACGTTTTTATTTGAACGCTCGTTATGTTATTTTTCACTCAAACCATGGAGATAGTCTCCCTGACTCAAACGATCCTCCAACACTAATGAAAACGGTGGAATCGGAATACGTACTTTTGACAGACTGAAGAAACAAACTGATAACCCTGTAAATAGGTATTCCGTATATTATTAGTAATACAGTGTACATCAGAATGCAGGGAATATTCTGTATTCTGAGGTAGTAATGTTGAGATGATGGAAAATTTTTATGAAATCGAGTTGTTTTAAACCTTGGTGAGTGCCGTGAAAGGCCTAAATTAACAGAAAAGACTTTGAAATATGTTTTGTGTACGTTCAGTAATACAGATTAGTAATCATGTGCTGCTAAGATGTGAAGCTGTGTACTAGAATAAATTAAGAACATTATTAAGGATTTTGGTCTATTACAAGTGCAGTCCAATTTGGGTGAAATTACATATGAAGAAGTGCCTTTTGTAATATTGTGAGAAAATGACTAATAGTGTATTACCACCATCATTTATCTAAATATCTAATGCGATGCAAATTTGATTTGTAGTTAAAATGGCTGACCCAAATTATCAGGTGAGATGAAAATTACAAATATACTTAGGTATCCAATTCCGGTGTAATACATTATTACCTTTAAACTATATTTGGCAACAGTAATGACTTGACTTAAACTTTTCAGATGTACTAAATACATTTCAAATGTGTAATTATTTGCAAATTCTAGAGAGGTTATATATTTATTTTTTTAAATTATTTAGTGACCTTTTACCATTTAAATCTTCAAAAATGTTTATTTTAATGTATGAAGCAACTGAAGAGTAAAAATTTTATATCATATTTCAAACATTTCAAGAAGTATATGACTTTCCCCGATTAAAAATTCGATCCTCCCTTTTAGACATCTGATTGTAGGAAATGGTTAGAAAATTTGACACATTTTTAACAATTTCAATGCTTTGCCGACTATTTCAACTGTTTTTTTTATTAGCTTGCACCCCACAGTATGCTTTTAACATAACTTTGTAAAATAACAAGTTATTATTTATAGTTATTTAGGTACTCTAATAAGGAAAATCCATGAAACAAAATGATTTTTTGATTTGATATTTACATCTGAAAAATTGTTAAGATTAAGTTTATTTTAAGATTGTTATGAATAATTTTTCTCTAGCTTTTTGAATTTTTTACACTTTTACTGTTAGTGGCCTTGATGTGTGTTGAGACTAATGGTTGGTTTATAAAAAAGTATTAGTCCTAACTTAGCCGTAACTTAACCTGAATCTTAGTCCTAAAAAGTTAAATGTACAGAATGTAATGTATCGGTTTATAAAAATCCCTAGTCGTAAGGAGGTCTTAAGACATGACCTTGAAAGTTCGCATCTTTTAATTTTTCTAGGATTAAGACTAAGATCTGAGAAGTGCGCATGCACAAGTATTGCATTTCGTAGCATAGTGACCTCCTGTCTTTGTCTATGGTGGTCGCCAATACGCCATTACCATAGTAATAGGTTATATTTTTCTTTTCACTCACCAACAAAACAAATAAAATAACATTACCACAGAATAATAAACAAGTATTATGCTGTGATATTACTAGCCATGCGCGTAGTCGAATCGCTCATTGGTTAATCTTAATAAAATTAGGACCGCACATTGTTTTTATAAACGTGTACCTTTTCTTAGGACTAATACTAAGATTAGTGTAAAGGTTAATACTAAGACTAAGACTAAGTTAGGACTAATACTTTTTTATAAACCAACCATAAATGAAGGTATATTCAGTGTGCACTATAGTCAAATGTTGTATTGTTTTTGCCAGATCTTTGTATTTGAATTGTAACTTTGTTAAAAATTTTTAAATACCTAAATGTAAATTTAATAATCATTTTTACATTCATTTTATTGAAGTGGAATTAAAATATAATGTGCAACTGCACAAATTTCTTTCAGTCTCGAAATGTGCAAATCAAAAAGAGAGTGTAAGTACTTGATATGAATGAGATGGAAATGCAGCCAGCAGGTAAGGTAACCCATAGTAAAAGTATAGTATCCCCACATTGCCACTGCGCATGCTATCTTCAGGGCTCAAATGAATTTGGTTTATCTGTGGAGTCTATTTAAAAACAAAAAGTAGGCAATAAATTTGGGACATGATATGTCTTTTTATCTACTTTCACTTATAAACCAGATGTTAATTCACATCCATATATGCCCCATAACAGGATCAACAGAGTTAGCATTTTCAATTAATTTCTGGTTGTGTTTCTGTCTTCCGGTGATTCTCATTTTCGCAGTTCATCTAAGTTTTTAAAAAAGTTTGAAAATAAGAGAATTCAACACAATAAAAAAATCATTGCATGTTAAAAAAAATAAAAATAATACTGTATTTCTATATACTAAATTTTTTGTGTAAAACATTTAATGGAAGAATTTTGTGATGCACATATTTATCTGAAATTATTTTTTATGTTCATTAGTATTTTCAGAAATGTTAAAAAAATTGCTATAAATTTAACTAATAACATTTTTTCATTGTTGAGGAACAAATATCCATATAAATAATTTGAATTCTCTTATTATGGTTTTTCACTTTCACTTCTGATTAGACAGAAGTCAGTGTCGGGCCGTAATACGGGTTCAGAATAAAATATACGAATATTAGTAAAACATTGGGAGTTCTCTTATTACGATCTTTCAGTACACATTCACTCCTGATTAGAGAAAAGTCATTGTCGGGACCAAGTAAGTGGACAGAAAAAAATATACGAATACGAGTAAAAAAATTACAGTTCTCTTATTAGTATTTCAGTCCATTGTGTAGGCTTAGAACTGTTTATTACTTATCTCAATTGCATCTTCCTCAAAATAAAAACAGACTTGTTTTGCTATTTTAAAAAAAACCTCTACAGTGTTTTCAATGTAACATTACTACACTAGCCACAAAAATGAAGGAATATTAAAAAAATCCCAAATTTTTGGGTGATTTTCAAAGAGCTGTAACTAGGAAGGAAATGGTCATAGAGAGAATCAAGAAAAAGGAAATTAAAGCTTCAAGTTTCTAGTTTTCGGATCTGGAGTTTAAAATTTTTTAGCATCAACGGTTTTAATCATAAGAAAACTAACGAAAAAAAAAATTTATTCATCTTCAAAAAGGTCTATGGACTTCAATAAATTTTTTCACGATATGGCCCTTTTAGATAATTTATATCTCTTCAATTTGAGTAGTTCCAGAGGCACCTTACGATGATTTGTCGCTGAGTTATCCTCGATCAAAGCAAAAAAAATCATATTTGACTTTAGCAATTAATTACTCTGGAAATATTGATCATACAGAAAATCCAAGTAGGGTTTTGAAAACTGTAAAGTATTCTCTACAAGTTCCAATTATTGGTTTTTGATAAAAAAAAATTTCGAAGAGAAAATGTTGAAAGAAAAGTAAAAAATTGCATAATTAGGAATATTTGAAGAACTTGACATAATTTTGCAAATAATGGAATAACTAAGGATATTGACTGTAACTTTTCAACCTCAAAGTGTTCTAAAGAAACCCTGATAATTTCAAAATGCGATTTCTTTTTTCCTAGTGCCCGGAATGTCACTTGCCTTTTAATTACCACCATTATTCAGTTAATTGTAATAAATTATTTAGTATTACAAGTATCATTATTATTAAAACCTATCTGAAAATTATCATTCACAAACTACATATTAATATTTTTAATTAATCATAAATTTCAAAATATTTATATTTTTTTATAGGGGGACTACATCAAACACCCAGTGGTTTATGAATTGTCCCATAAATATGGATTGTCTATTGACAATCTTAACGATGCTCAATTACCTAATAAATTAGAGGAATTAAAGGACATTATAAGAAAAGAAATTAGAAAGGAATTGAAAATTAAAGAAGGTGCAGAAAAATTAAGAGGTGTTTCTACTGATCGAAAATCTCTTAATCATGTTGCTACCATCGTCAAAAACTCTAATTGGAAATTAACTGAACTTAAAAATGAACTAAGTGAGCTAGAATCACAGATTATCCTGACTCAAGGACAAAGCACTCCAAACACCTCAATGAATGATAGTAAGTTAAATACAAAATAAGTTTATATTGATTTTGGTTTGAAACCACTATGTTTGTAGTTAATAAAGTTCAGTACAAGTTCATATTATACAGGGACAGAGTAAAGATTTTCCGCGAAATTTTCAACATCTTTGGAAATATTACACTTGGTTAACATATTTTAAAATATAATAATTTTTTTTTATATGATCTATTAAATATTAACTAATAGTACGTTAGTACGTAGATATGTTATTAATTGTAAATAATTTATTTTTAATCATCTTAGGTTGCGAAACTAATGAAAAATAATTTATTAAATGCAGATTGGGTTTCTATGATAACGACGTGCTATTTTAAAGTTACCATATTTTCTTGAGGTCAATGTGGACGAAGTGCCGAACATTAAGAAAATAGTTTTTAAAAAATTTACAATTTTTGATTTGAGTCTAATAAAAAAAAGGTCACGCCACGCAATCAGCGACTTGCCGATATAGAACTTCAAAACATAGACTTTTGGTTTGATTTTAAAAAAAAAACAGAACTTGCCGAGGCCCCCGATCTAGTGAGGCCCGGAGTTGTAGCCCCCTCTAAATCCAGACCTGTGCTTATCAAAATGTAATAGTATAAAAATATTTCCCTTATATGTATCTTCTGCTTGTCACTTATATACAGTATTGCAATATTCTGACAACATTTTACAGGTAATTCTTTGACTAAAAATGAGAAAAAGAGAATAGCAGACTTTAAACTATGTTTTACTTAAAATTTACCAACACATATTTTAATGAATGTTATCCAAATAATAAATATATCCAAAAAAATTTATGAGATAAACAAGAAAATTTGTCTTTTTCAAAAGAAGAGTCAATGTTGCTACGATAAGAAAATTTGAAGAGACCTGATGGTTGTAATTTAAAAAATATTCCACCTTGTAGATTTTTTCGTACATCGATCAACAAAAAAGTATCTAGTTTGAATGAATTTTCTTAAAAAAAAAACGAGTAAAATAAAGGTGACAGTAAGTAAAAAAAATGATAAAACCTTGTTGATTTGAACTTCTTTTCTTATTTTTGATCAGAGAGTCTCGTGTAAAAATTTGTCGGAATATTGTTACATCTTATACATATAAATACATTTTGTTTTTTAGATTCGAAAATATCAGATAATCAGAACTATGATAAATCAAATTTTAATCACTGCAGCAAAATTGAAAACCTTGAAAAGCAGCTTAATATTGAACTTAAAGTTAAACAAGGCGCTGAAAATATGATTCAGAGCATTATTGGAAAAGATAAGAAATTGTTAGCAGAAGCCCAACAAATGTTGCAAGATTCTAAGAAAAAAATAGAATATTTAAAAATGAAAATTACAAAGGTAAGTTATATTTTTAAATTGGGTCATTTATTTTTGTGCGATGTTGCCAAATTAGATTTGTTTTCATAAAAATTTAATTTTTTTTTTCAACTGTCAGGACTGACATTTTTTGACTGTCAGAAGTCTCTAAGATTACCGTTTTCCTTAATCTTTAGATTAAAAGTGTTAATCAAGGTTTAATTTATAAAAGTTTATGCAACAATATTTACAATAATTTTTATTTATCCACAGATATTAAATACACATTTTGAACAAGTATTAAAATTAAATAAACCACTGAAACTGCCACTACCCTCATTCTTGGAGCAATTCTCAAAGCAGTCAAATACGTTTTCATTAATAGTTATATTATTTTTAGATGTGAAATCAGAAATGACGACGATGCTTGGTTTATCATTACCACTATCAACTTTCAGTATTCTTTTTTTTTATTCAAAAGTGAGTCTTCAATCTAGCCTTTCGCGACATTGCTCGATCTCCATCCGTATTTTTTAAGACAAGTGAGGTCACCGCCGTCAACTAAAAGGGTAGTAGACGTTCGTTGTAATGGGTGTCCACTGCACTCTTTCCAGTTGTCCAGCTTCAAAAATTTTGCCACTTGCCAGACAGCATTCATTTTATGAAAGCCAACCACCATTGGATGACACTTTTCACTAACATATCTGAGAAATAATTGATATTCTATCAATTGGGTGGACGGAAAGCAACATATTTTCAATAAAAATTTAGATAATCATCTCCCAGCATAGTAAAAGAGACCACATTCTCTTGGTTTTGGTGTTGCGAATTTTTATAATTAAGGCGGATTTCACATCTTTGGCATTATCAATTGTTAAATTGACTAATTCATCAGAACGGCATGTGCCTGCAACCATCAATATTAGGACGACCTATTTTTTTTAAATTTTGTTCTTTTATTTTTAAGGCGTTTACCTTCATAATCGAATATAAATTATCAGGTTCACTATTCAAAAAGCAATCAACTTGCTCCTTTGTAAATACTCACAATTTTTTCGGGACACAATCTCTCATTTTGTCTTTTGAGAAAAACACGTAACTGAATATTTGCTTATATTAATCCCCTTCTTTATATCCAACGTTGACCACAACACTGAATATTGTGACCAAAGCATTGACGGTTACATTTTATTTGCTAAGTTTGTGAAGTACACCATCAATATATCTTCTGAATACAACTTAATGTTTTTTCTTTACACTTATCCATAAAACGTTGGTAGACTCATTAATAAATTTCTCGAGATTTCTTTGGGAGAAGATTCAAAGAAACCTCTTTCACACGCTCAAGTATCTCCTCAGGTACACTTAAATCTTCATATACCGGATGACCACGAGATTACTACCCAGGCTCTAGCTTAGGCACGAAAAAAGATATCGATTAAAAATTTTGGGCATGCGTATCATTGAATTTGATGCAAAATTTAATCATAAAAAAACTGACCGTCACTTCCTGTTTGACCGGAAATGCCCTAAACTTTATTATTTCATGTGGAACACCCTGTATATTATTTTTGTTTTCAATTCTGCTAAAGAAACTAACACTAAAATATGTATTATGTCTTATACCTATCTTTGACAGTTTCCGAGAATATCGCGCTTTAAAATGTCAAATGTGTCATTTATAAAATCCTTTTGAAAGAAAACAAACGAAGAAAGGGACAAACTCATATGATATCTTTAACTTATTTTAGAAGTACTAAAGTCTGATATCATAAATTTCGGTTGGAGAAAAATTAGCATGTTTTATTCGGATTAAAAGTGTCTTTTGTCTCGCAATTTTGCATGGCTGCGCTTCGCCTCAACAAATACAAAATTTTCTTGCACAAAAGTAACACTTAATCTTAAGATAACATACAATTTTTTTATAAAATGTCTGTTGAGTATTACTGCTTGCATTTGTTAACCTTTAGTGGACTGTATTTAAATTTAAATAAAACGAGTCGTACGATACATCTATTTCGTTATAACATACAAAAAAACCATCTACATACATGAGATGCTGGATGCAAACTGGCAATCCAAGATGCGCCTTCTTTCAGTGAAGGGCCTCCCCACTACTTGATATACAAACATACACATAACAATTTTGCGGGAATATCAAATCCCTAACAATGTCAATATGTAAATTGTAATATTTAATAAGACTAAAGATGAATGTAATAAGGTAACTTGGCTATGTGTACCTATTCATTTAAAATCATTATATTGACCAATCAAACTTGCATTGAAATCAATTAAAAAATCACGTAGAATTTAAAAGGTGATGCCTACTTCGAATCACTATCATATACAGTATGTCTGAAACATTCATATGAAAGCATAGAAGGGCCATCCATTTATTTGATACTTGGACACAAAATTTTGAATTCGTACACAAAATTCCAAATTCCAACTCGAAATTTCAAGTTCAAACTAGAAATTTTAAAGCTTTAGTTGTGGAATGAAACTCACTTGCTAATTTTTTTACCTTCTGTCAGGCAAAAAAAATATGCATGGTGTTTTGGGAAAGGTATCATGAATTCAGGGGCTGATGGAAAAAAATAATATATTTCTATTTCCTGTGGACCATGAGTCTATCTTCTTTTATTATTGAGATTAAAGATGATAATTTTTAAAACAAATTTTCACATATTTTGTCTGAAAAACAATGTAATGTATTGAAAGCAAAATACAGGTAAGTTTTTGAAGATGCACTAAATACGTTGTGTTGATAATGCTTGACCATCTGCTAGAGGTCGCTAACTACAACCTAACTACTATTGATATTTTTGATATCACTTTGTTGGGATTAGTTTTTTTACATTGTATGTCAATGGAATCTCATATACAATTACACTATTTCATTTTACTTACTTTACTTGCATTATACAACTTCATTTCCTTTTTCTTTTTCTTAATATGTAACTGAACTGTTCTAAAGTTAACTAGCTTCAATTCCTTCTAAAAATGAATATATCTTAATTCAAGAGTGGTTTTCTTGGATGAAAATAAAGCCATTTTAATAGACCAAGTTATCTTGAGAGAAGTTATAGGTAAAGCCCATAGAGTTATACCTTGTTGGTAAGATCTTTTCATGCTTCATCTCTTGGTGAATGCGTAATGTCATTTACGTCAATATGGAAACTTATAGATAGCATTATTTCAAAAGAATGCCGTTTTATGGATTTTTCTCAAAAATTTTAAACGCAATGCTATAGTTTTCTTTATATAAATTTATTCAGCATAAAAAATTTATGAATATAACACAAGTTTGAAATTTCTAACAAAAGTGTTGTTTACATGGTATACCTTATTTAGTTATTTATTGGCGCTATTTATCCAAATTTAGGTTTAGGTCAAATAAACTATTGTCACATTTTCACGGCCAACTAAAAAATTTTGTTTGAAACTGTTACTCTGGAAAATAATATATACAAAATTCTGAGATACCAATGCCGGTATTCCAAGGTAAGATACTGAGCCAGCAGTGTTAGGAACATCGCGTGGGTTTAGATAGGTTCTTTTATAAACACATTTTGTTTTGGTAATTAAATGTCTTTTCGTTAGTGTCTTGTTCCTCAATTCATTATCATTATTTATTTTTTGCTCACTAATTTGCGAATAACTTGATAACAAAAAAATATATCGAATGCCCTTTTTGGCATCAAAATGTAGCTATTTTTATGCTCTTCAAACTAATATATATAAAGTTTTATCCTGATATTTCACTTTTTAAGAAAACCTGAAACAACCTATCTCTTTATAGTAAGCAATTATAGTTTTTACATCTTATAAAAATATATTAAAGTTTCAGTCTTATATTTCAAGATTGATAACAGGGAATTTGCTCTAAAATGGCGGGTGACCGCTGTATTTTATCAATCTGGTCTTTGCTGGCACAATTCCATCATGTGCAAACTTAAGATACTATATTATAAATTCGTCACGTTTAATTTGTAATCTTAAAATAAATGCTTCAATATTTCTAGTTAAAACATGATACTGATTTAAAATCACGAGGCCTTATAACTGATAATAATGATAATGGAGATTTGTCCCAAAGAGAATTGGAACCTCTTTTGGAGGATAGAATAGAAGACTTAAAGCATAGATTAAGAGTCGAAGCAGCTGTGGTGGAAGGAGCAAAAAATGTTATCAAGTTGCTACAAAATGGAAATAAAGAGAAGAGTGATAGGAGAGCTTTGACAGAGGTAAGAGAAACAATCAATATTTAACATACGTGTATCTTCCTTAAGTACTTAATTATATGTTCCCACATTTTAATACTGTAGGTATATTGTATATAATACAAGTGAAGTTGGACACTATGTTTGTTAAGTTTTTTTAACCTAAAATATGGTGGATAAGAAACAAATCTTGTGTAGTTGTGACATGAATTTAGCACTCTGTATTGAGATAACTAGCTCCAGAAAAATTTTTAAGTGAAGATAGCAACTAAACTAAACATTTTGAACAACTTTTCCAAATAACTGATTTCCATAAAATGCTGTATTATGAAGAGTGGCAGAGATATGGGAAACTAAAAAAAAGAAAATAGTGCGGTCCTGCAAAATAATAATTGATTATATTTTCTTAAAAAACATGCCGATGGGAACAAAAAATGCCTCTTATGTTTTGTCGATATCTGTCTGTTATTTTTTAATTACCTGTTAGAAATATTCAATAAATTTAAATAAAGTAGCATCTTTCAAATCAATAATATTATTTGATTATTACAAGAACTTCAAGAGAATCATTAATTTCCAAGTAAAAGTCAACTTATTAGGCTTTCTTCAATTTCTTGAGTAAGATTTTTATTTGATGCTAGATTTTTAGCCTTAACCCATTCGCTGCGCAATACGTCTGAACGTAGCTACCGCGCCGTGCGCGAAAATTTATTGCGTGCGAGTATACAGGGTGATTTAGTCATAATGTCATTCATTTTAAGAGCAGATAAAGAAAAATGAGTATAATACGATGGCGTGATTAAAAAAAAAAATTAAATGCATGTTCAAGCTGAAAAAAAATATTTTCAAATCATTATTTAACCCCCTTTTCAGTCTGTTACTGACCGGCTGACGTCAGCCGGCTACGATATGAACAAAGCGCCCTAGATGCAATGTTGCCGTATTTATATATTTTCACTCATATAAAGACAATAAATAAACGGTTTGGTCACGTCGGCCAATAATAATTTAAAATGCTATAAATTATTTTTTATAATTATGCAATCAACATATTAAATTGTTATTGTTGCTCAGCAAGAACCTTGAGGAGGTCTGAGCATACCTTGCCAAAAATCATTTTTTATTAACATCATAGTGATAATTTTTTTATTTGCTGTAAGCCTTCTACTAAAAATTGAAAGTAACGCGGCCCGTTCAGATGTTCAGGTAGAAAATGCGGCTCAATTAAATGATCGTCATATATTCCTGCCCATACATTGACACCGAATCTCCTCTGAAAGCTAAACCGACAAGTAGTGTGCGGGTTTTCATCTGACCAAATATGACTATTATGGCTACAAAGAAATTAGCTCTGTTTCACTTTAAATAAAATTTAATATTGAAGTTACAAAACAGTTACACTCACTAGATAAATTATAAAGAGAGGGTGAAGTATTTAAATATTGACTGTAAGTAATAGAAGATAAAAATACAATCGGATGGAGACAAATAAACAACTCGGTACGTGTTTCCGACCCAAGCTAACCTGTGTCGAGGTTAATTACCTTCTAATTTGCATGTGCACTTTGGTCTAGGAGCCAGACAGGGGTCCGTTGCCAGCCAGAGTGCCACGGCTTCAAACAACTTATTCTAAAGTATTTTGACCTCCTGAATCCAAAAAACTTGGTCGCAAAGCCTGAAAGTGGTCAGTTTAATTGTTATCAACAAATTAAATGGCTGTAAAAAGTTTATTTTTATAGCTAGTACACGGAACCTGATCTGGCTCCTAGACTAACACGAACTGTAGTAGAATCGTATTCCATGCAAAGTAGAGCAAAAAGTTGTCGGTCTTTTATCAAAGGAAAATCGTGTCATCAAATTGAATGTAATGACTAGGGATGATTGTTTTCGAATGTACGGTTATTACAATTTATCATTTTTAATATTATTAACATTTTCACGTTTTATAATTTATTATGTTAAATAATACACACTTTTAGTATTTCAATTTATTATTCAATATGCAGTTACGTATAACCAAAGTTTACATAATAAATGTAAACTTTAGTGTAAATCTAAACTTTGGTTTAACCTAGGTAGGCACTTATTGTTTTTGAGAAAGCAATACTTATGTTTTTTACCTGTTTAAAATGCCAGCACGAATAAAACAGCATTCATCCGTCCAGAGCACTTTGTTAATAAAGTTCTGCTGCACTTAGGAACCAATTGCAAAATTCAAGACGATTGGGGAAATCAGCTGGTTCTAAAGCTTGAACTTTTTGAAAATGTGTTATGTTAACTCCTTTGCGGGAGATATGGAGGGTGGTACATTTGAATAAACGCTTTAAATTGTTAGGTAATGGTTTTGTAACCGTGTGTAGTGTATTTAGTATATTCGGGTATTTAGTGTGCCGACTTTTTTTTTATTTTATAAAATACAGCGTGCCTACAAACCTCTGCTTTATTTATTTTCTTTTAACGAATGTTGACTTCGAGAAGTCAGGCTTGTTAAAACATTTTGCACTAAGTTAATACAATTATTAAAATTAGTTATAATAAAATGCAGCATGATCCTTTATTTACTTGCATTTTATTGGTTTCGTACATATGTATCCATATACTAAAGCGGATTAATTAAATGTGAACCACAGATTATGATATGAACTTGGCAACGCTGTTCGCTTCAGCTGACAATTTGTTCCTGACATTACATTACAAAATTTTCCGTGCATCCGGGCATCTGGCAGGGCCGCCCTCTTAGCGGAAGTTATGGGTTGATTTCCTTAATTTTTAAAAGTCGAATAAAAAATTCTTTTTCCCGATTTTCTGTCTTTATTAAGCCTTCCGAATACGTAGTTAAAATTAATGACATTATGACTAAATCACCCTGTATACGTCTGGAGCAGTTAGACCAGGGTTGTCCAACTGGCGGCCCGCGGGCTGCATCCGGCCCGCGATGCTATTAGTTGTGGCCCGCGTAATGTTTAACGAAAAGCATATATTTTTTTTAAATGCTGCCATTGTGAAAAAAGATTTATATTTTATGGTCTCTCTAACACTGTTTTTACAATTTTTCATTATTATTGCAATGTTTGTCTTAGTTCTTGACATTCTTGACTCTTAGATTTTTTAAGATAAATTTTGTCTAAAAAAATGTAGTTGTTGAGCAATAAAAGAAATAATACTCCTTTTTTGTTTTAATTATTTTTATACTTCACGTTATTTTGTTATTACTTTAACAAAATTATTATATGGCCCGCAACCACATCAAAGGTTTTAGTTTTAGCCCTTGAGGCCTTGCAAGTTGGACACCCCTGAGTTAGACCAATTATAGTTTTACATTATGTTGTGTTAAATTACGATTTACGATAAATTTTACGATTTTATTTTAAATAAATACAGTATATCGACAGCTGTACTAAATAGAAACTGAAAGAGAGATGAACAATCTTGGCATTATTACCAGTACCTTCTTCCATAAAAATATTTGTCACAATCGCTATAAGTTCCGCCTGCAAAAATTCCCCATACCAATTACAACAACCGAGTCACGCGCATGGTTGCGAATATATACGGTTTGAGCAGCCTGATCCAATTTAACTATTCAAGCGAATTAATCCGTCTGGAGCAGTTTTAGCCCCATAAATTTTTAGCGAATAAATACGTTTGCAGCAGTGAAAGGGTTAAGGAAGAATATGTGATTGCAATTAGATGAGGCTCCTGCTCATTCTGGTAGGGTAGTTGAAAACTGGTTAAATGTCAACCACCAGATGGATTGGCAAACAGGGCCATATTCCATGGGCAGCTCCCCATATGGAGTATAATTAAAAATTACGTGTATGAAGTCCAAATAAATTCAGAAGAACTGCATGTGACCAATGAAAAGAAGACAGGATTCAGATCCAGTGCATACAATTATAGTACATTGTGTAACGAGTGGGGAAAAGTTGCCAATAGCGCCACGCGGATGCAGTTGACGCACGAGCAAAGCGAGTGCGGAAAGCGCCCAAGTGGCGCTATGGCAACTTTTCCGAACGAGTTGCTCATACTATTTTCTATCACAAATGCGAGTCGTTATGGGACCTATAGTGTAGGGGGTTAGGTGCACGGAAAGTGCTAGATAGTACAACAGCGTGATGTTATTTTCATAGCGCAACGCTGGAGCATTGCGCTATGAAAATAACATCACGCTGTTGTACTATCTAGCACTTTCCGTGCACCTAACCCCCTACACTATAGGTCCCATAGCGAGAGCGCGTGATAGAAAATATTTTAACATCATACAGGGCATGTATTGAGGCAAATGGTGCCCATTTTGACACCCATTATGAAATGTACTCAATAATTTTAGTAGCAGCAATAGTCATTAGTTAATCTGTTGTTAATTTAATTTTTAACATCGAATTATCATGTAATTTTGTTATTAACTTTTTAGTTAAATTTTCGTGTATTTCATCTTTTGTAACTTGTTTCATACATTTATTTTTGCTTTAAATTTTATTTATTGAAACGGTGTTATTCACATAAAAAAATTTACTGGCGGTAAAAAATGTTTGAGAAATCTAAAAAACATGGAAATTAATGATTGAAGTTTTTGTAATAATCAAGTATTGATATGATTTGAAGGATGCTACTTTATTTTTTATTTAAATAGTTGAAACTAGCCAAAATATTTCTAACAGGAATTTAAAAAATCCATTAACACACAGTATCCGACTAATTTGACAAAATGTAAGAGGTATTTTTTGTTCTTATAGGCATGCTTTTTCAGAAAATATAAGCAATTATTATTTTACACAAGACTACTATTTTTTTTTTATAAAATAGTCGAATGTGTTTCCCATATCTCCGCCATTGGTTGTGCAAAAGTCTTCATATTACAGTATTTTATGGAAACTTGACCCAATACACCAAATTTAGTTAAAATAGCTCTATTATTTCAGAAGATATTTACAGTAAATGATTTGTTTTTTTAACCATTAACCCTGTATCTATATACTATATTTATAGTTCTTTAATTGTGCTGATAATTATGTTGGAAAGCACAAAAATCTTTTTGATTGTATAAAAAATGCATAGTTTGTCATAATTATGAAGTTAATTTTAAATTTTGAATGTAATTATTATTTGAAAATCATTTACTAAAATTTTAAATGTCTATTTAGCTATGAAGAAAAAAAAACGAGAAGTGTATTAAATTGAACTAGTACAACAGAAAGTTTTTCCCCTTGTGACTGATACTCAGTGTCTCTTCTAATTTTCGATATCAGTGAAAAAAACTCACCCTGGACAATAACGTGTTTCATATTTTAGGCTCAAGAGGGTTTGAGGGCGAGTAGCATGAAGTTAGATTTATTAAAAAGATCGTTAGAATTGAGAAAAGCAGAATTGCCGTCCGATTCTCCAATGGCTGTTCAACTCAAAGAGGAGCTGGCAAATGCTCTACTTTGTAGCCCTGTGTCTATTCATTATACTAGTCTTCAACCATTCAAAGAGACAATAACCAATACAAACATATATACGTCATCATTTAGTAGATGCGCCGCAGTGACTGGAACATTAGAAGTTAGGCTGATGGGTTGTCAAGATCTTCTCGAAGATGTGCCTGGAAGACCTCGGAAAGATGCGGATCAATCGACCACTATGGATTTAAGATTTTTCAAGAAGGGAGTTACAGGACGCACATCTTTGAAAAGTTACAGTATTAAGGAAGAAGTCAGTGATGAAATTATGGCAGTATTAAAGTTAGACAATACCACAGTCGCTCAAACTAGTTGGAGACCTTGTTCACAACAGGCTTGGGACCAGAGGTATTTATTCAATTTGATTTTTTAAGAGCATATGTATGAAGTTATCATTATAAGCTAATATTAAAACTTATATTATTTCACACATTAGTCATGGGGACCATATCACCATGTTTGTCCGGCCAGACCCAGGTCGAATAAAATTTTATTGCATGAAAAGGGGTTTCAGGATCTCGAGTATAACAATAATCTTACGTATAAATTTCAATTCTTTTAGGTTTTCCATTGAACTAGATAAATCAAGAGAATTAGAAATTGGCATTTATTGGAGAGATTGGAGATCTTTATGTGGTATAAAATTTTTGAAACTTGAAGAATTTATAGATGATGAAAGACATGGGATGGCACTACATTTGGAGCCTCAGGGATTACTTTTTGCTGAGGTAATTAGTATTGGGCGGGTAATACAGTTTTCGTTACTCTGTGATAGTTATTACTGTCAAACACCCAAAGCTCTGAATACCCTTTTAAAAAGGTACCGATTGGAGGTTGTGTAAGTTAGAAAAAATCTAGACTGTGCCGGTTGTGTGATTTGGTAAAATTGATCATTCTTAGGGACCACACGTATCTGACAGACTACATGATCTAATTTTTTTCTAGCTTTATGAATAGTCATTAGAGATGGGAAATTCCCGGGAAAATATTTTTTTGGGAATATTCCAAAAATACGTTTCAGGAATATTGCCAAATATTTCCCGTGAATAATCCCAGGGAATATTTCCTTGAAAACCTTCCAGGGAAATTGTCCAGGAATATTTCCCACCACTTACAGACTGTTTTTTGTTTTTTGAACGTGTGCTTATTGCAAGTTGTGGCAACATTAATGGTTATAATTATAGACTTATTTTTTGGCATTGCAGGTAGGTACTTGATGCCTGGAAATTTGGAAATTGTTTAACATCTACAGCAATTATTTGTATTTATTGTTTTTTTTTGGTAACTTTAAAAAAATGTGCAAATAACATGAAAAGACACCAACGATGCATTGATGCACTAAATTCAAAAATGGCTTTAATCGATAACCTCAATACAACATAATTCCTAAAGTTATGTTATATAGTTATAATTTGGGGGGAAATTCAAAATAATACGGAAATATTTCCCAGAAACTTCCTTAAATCCTCTCGGAAACATTTCCTGGAAATGTTCCTTAAACAGGATTCTTCCCTTCCCGGACAGTTACCATTTTGGAAACTTATCAGTGGGGCCCATCTTGAATAGTTATTATTAAATTAGTTTTAGTCTTATTATTTCTTTTTTAGAACGACTTTGATTCTTGTTTGTTACAGCTCACGTAGTAGTTGTTTTCCACAATGTCACGAGTTAGAAACGACGTTCCTATTAAGTTCTGGAATAACCTAAAAAGAATATAATTAACATTTTCCTAGAAATAGGCATTTGTTGTTACATACCCTGTACCAATAAATATGATTTTACTGCCACTTTTTACTCATTCTTTATTTTAGATAAAATTTTTGAATCCCATGGTTTCTAAGCGACCAAAACTTCGGAGACAAAAGAGAATATTTAAACAAGTCATGCCAAGGGCTAAGCAAATGAATATCAATATTGTAACATGGGGTAGATGGATGAAGCAGTCTTCTAGAATTCCTGCAAAAGAACATATAATATCTATAGATGTAAGTATTCTAGATTCCATAACCCCATAACCTCAAAACCCAGTTTGGAATAGACTTATGCACGAACTCTCATGAATCGAAACTTCATACATCATTGTTGTACTACTTACTTGTGTGTTTGCAATCCAGGGCACCTCCATGTGGTGGACGGTGGGCAACGAAGTTACGAGGTCTGTTAGAAAAGTATCCGACCTTATTTTGTTCTGTGAAAATCTTGAACGTATGTGCGCAGGTGTGAATTTTTTTTTTCCCCCGTCTTTCTATAGTGGCTGGCAAGCAGCGTTTGAATGAGGTAGTGTGTAGTGCTCTCGTTGGTTTCTTTATTGCATGGAAAATGACGGAACGACTGGAGCAGCACTACCACATCAAATTTTGTCAGAAACTGGGCGATAGCCAAGTGGAAACCATTCGGAAGATGCTATGGGCATCGTACAGATTAAGGAGTGGTACAACTGGTTTAAAGACGGTGGAGAGAGCGAGCCACACCAGTAAGAAATTAGGATATGTCGCCTAACAGACTTGACATACTGTTTTTCTTTTGTGATGTATTCTGTATTTCATTGTTGTACACTAATATACATATTAGGTACGGCCTATTTTGAAATAAAGACTTACTTATTATCTGAGAAATTGCGGAAGAGATGGGCATCGGCACATTCCATTATGACCCAAGATTTGGCCATGAAGAGAGTTGCAGCGAAATTCGTGCGAAAGCTGCTCACGATGGAGTAAATGCAACTTTGTGTTGAAGTCTCACAGGACATGCTGGATTCCACATATGAGTACAGTGACCCCGACTTCACAAACACTATCATCACTGGTGACAAGTCTTGGGTGTATGGGTATGACCGGGAAACCAAAACCCAGTCGTTACAGTGGAAGCATTCCACATCACCAAGACCAAAGAGGGCCTGCCAAGTGCGCAGCAACGTCAAAGTGATGCTGACTGCTTGACTCAGGGTCAAACAATCACTAAAGAGTACTACAGGGATGTCCTCAGACGCGTACGTCATGCTGTGCAGTGCAATAGATAGGAGTTGTGGTCAAGAAGAAATGGGCGCGTTAATCACGACAATACTCCAGCACATTCCTCGCACTTGATTGAGACTTTTTTGGCGGAAAACCAGACTCCTGTGGTTCGACAGGCTCTTTACTCTCCTGATATGGCCCCCTGCGACTTCTGGCTGTTACCCAACTCAAGAGGCCATTGAAAGGAAAGCGATTAAAGACAAGAGAGGACATGATGGCTGCAACGACCCGAGTTAACTCCATTCCGAAAGAGGCCTGCTCAGAATACTTCCAACAATGGCAGCACCGCCATTGGGGGAAGTGTGTGGAGCCCTAAGGAGACTACTTCGAGGGTGATTAGATTTCCAACGCTGCAGGTATACCAATTTTTTTTTCTTTGGCCACAGATTCTAACAGAGCTCGTATTCCGTCATCTGGCAAAAACCTTGGATAACGGTGTCCAAAAAGTTATGATGCAGGGGGTCGGATCCCCAGTATCTAATAAAGCACCCCAAAGGGAACAGAAGCCTTCTACGTCCTCGTCGTTCTTTCTGGATTCTAGTGATGGGAAGACCCGTTCATATGAATGATATCGAAATAGTATCGAATCCAACCTGTATCATTCGGTGTTCCGTTTCGTCAGTCCGTGTACGATAGAATGCTTTTTTTGTCACGGCCTGTGGCAGCTAATATCTTCCTGCACCTGCATGTGCACTATCGACATCTGATAGATTTATGGCCATATATTTTTTATATTTGTATTTTTTTTAAAGAAACATGCATAATTTAATTCCAGACACTTTTTATAAATGTAAATAACATCAGAAAATGTATTGCTTAATGCATATGCAAAAAAATAATACAGATATTGAGAGGAGACTTTAAAAGCGCCTATACTATATCTCAAATTTAAAACAATTTTTATTTAGTTTAGTTTTATAACAGCAGCCTTTGAGGCAAGTTCGCTAATTGTATTATTAGTCCAGACAGTATAAAATTTTTCTATACATATACACATATATAAAATTTTTCTATACACATAAAAAAAACGTGAGCTTAACTTTTGGCGGCACAATATGTTAAAAAAATTCGAAAAATGTCATATTTTTCTTCCTATTTAGTTATGTATCTTTTCAAGAGTTGATTTTAGGCGAAAATGGAAGAGGAAAAAAATATTTGTAATTAAATTTTTTACAAAACACGACTAGTTACAAATCGAATGAATCATGATTATTATGGTAAAAATCGAAAAAATCGCAAAAATGGGGTTAAAAAACAATACTTTTTATGGAGTTTTTTTGGGGTATTTAAACAAGGTATAGGACCTTCATACTTGGCTCAAGAAAACTTCATGTTATGTAGAATCATCACACCAAATGTCATAAAAATCGGTTCTATAGATTTTGCATAATAATTTTGTAATCTAGATTTTGAAAAAAAATTTGCAAATGCACAGCAAAAACCAAGGCCCTTAGATACTTGAACATTTAATCACATATAGAAGGGCTCTCAAGCTTTCAAATTTTTTTTGAAAAATTCGAATCCGTCAATTGGGAGAGCTCTGGCGCTTGTTTAAACATTGGTCGAATTTTTGTACTTATAAACAATTAGAATAACTTTGTGAATATTTAATCAAATCAAATTTTTTAAAGCAGGTTTTAAAAGTTCTTGAAAAGATTCTTCTTTAAAAAAAATAAGAAAAATTTACAAATAATTTTTCTTATCAAGTTATTTCCTAGAACTTTGCATTTGGAAGTACTAGTCTATTACTTCAAATAAAAAAGTTGGCCTATGTCAGGTTTTAAAAAAATAACACTATATACAGACAGGTTGTAGAGATTCTTTTCCTAACGGTATATATGTGTATCTATTTTTTCAAGGTCGTATTTTTCATATACGAAATAATATATTGAAATGAAAGATTCTTTTTTTAATATTAATTCTTTTTTTTGTGATTAAAGTATAATTCAAATATTATTTATTGTTTACAATATAAGCAAATGAAAAATTAACTCATTATATTACCAATTTTTGTCATATTTTGAAAATAATTGTTGTTTAAACAATTTCAGAATATTTAAATAAATTTGTTTTTGATCTTTGATAAGCAGTATATAATTTTATGCACTTACTTTTGATACAATAGAAAAATAAAGTTGATAAGTAAAGGAAGTTTAAAGATAAATAATTATCGGACTGTTGAAATACCAATAATTATTAACGATAGGCATTTGAAAATACACTAAAATTAAAAAAAAATCATAAAATCGAACCTCTAGAAGGTGAGATATAAAAAATTTTTAAGCACATTGTGGTTTTGGACTCGTCGATTCAATTTCGAGCAGGCCGAAGCGGCTGCGCTCTCTACTTCCCCCACCACAACCACCCGTACGATTTTCTTGAATTTCTCGCTTGCATAAATAACTTTAAACACATTTTAAAGTAAGTTGCCAATGAAGAAAAGTATTGAAATCTTAGACCTCGTAAGTACTCGGAATACCAAAGGTATTTTTCGAACATTTAGTGTAAATGACGGTTAACTGATCAGCTATAACTACATAACTAATTGATCAATCGATCTGTTTTTTTTTAAAATAGAAGCGTCTTTCCATGAACTTTTAAAACCTGGTTTAAAAAATATGATTTGATTGAATATTCACAAAGTTATTCTAATTGTTTATAAGTACAAAAATTTGACCAATGTTTAAACAAGCGCCAGAGCTCTCCTAATTGACGGATTCGAATTTTTCAAAAAAAGTTTTAAAGCTTGAGGGCCCTTCTATATGTGATTAAATTTTCAAGTGTCTAAGGGCTTTGGTTTTTGCCGTGCAAAATTTTGAAAATTTGCACATTTTTTTCAAAATAGATTGCAAAATTATGCAAAATCTATCCAACCGATTTTAATGAAATTTGGTGTGAAGATTCTACATAACATGAAGTTTTCTTGAGCCAAGTATAAAGGTCGTATACCCAATTTAAATACCCCAAAAAAATTCCAGAAGAAGCATTGTTTTTAACCCTATTTCTGCGATTTTTTCCATAATAATCATGAGTCATTCGATTTGTAACTAGTCATGTTTTGTAAAAAAATTAATTACAAACATTTTTTTCCTCTTCCATTTTCGCCTAAAATCAACTCTTGAAAAGATACATAATTAAATAGGGAGAAAAATATGACATTTTTCGAATATTTTTAACATATTGTGCTACCAAAAGTTAAGCCCACATTTTTTTTTTTATGCGCATAGAAAAATTTTCATTTCTAGTGATATTTGAAAGCCAAAAAGCCAAAAATCTCCGTGGATATACGATTCACCCAAACCAAAACAGATACCGCCTAGTCTATATATTCCACTGTTGGTTAAAATTTAAAAAATGTCTGAAAACAAAAAAAGAAGTAGAGTATGGGAATTTTCTACTGAACACGGTATTGGTGATAAGGCAAAATGCAACTTTGTTCCAAAATGATGTCTTTTAAAGGAGGAGCAAATGGCAATAATCCATTCTGCACCATCATTTGATTGTATATTCAGATTTCAGATCAGAAACATACAATACCGACCAGAGTACCTATACCCAATAGATGTTAGTCGATATTTCTTGGCTTTCATTCTGTATCAGCACCAGCTCTCCTCCACTTCAGATATGCAGACACTGAGTTTGCGCTCAAATGAACAATGAACGATAGGGTCACGCAACGTGAACGGGACAATCACGGGTCTTTTAAAAAATTCGGTCATTACGACACATCACTACTGGGTTCGACAAAACATAGGCTCCTCTAACAAAAGTCTCTTTCTTACCGGGTTATGGGTGTCGGGGTTATAAGATCAAGGGGTTATAGGAGTTGAGTGGTCAATATATTAATTGGGTTTTTGGGACTATTTTTTGAAGTTATAAAAATTCTGACGTGATGAGGTTTAATGGACCCTGAATTCAGCAACACCGAAAACATATGGTAGACATAGTCATACCCCAGAAGTAATTTTGTTCGATTTTTTTTGTGGAACTGTGTTTTTTTTTGAGAAAAACCGTTAAAATATATTTTTCTGAATGCTGGTTATTCCATGTCTTCCAAGTTTTTCTACAATATTCCAATATATTCGTCATTCGAATGTATTCCGTATACACTGGAATAAAAATATTTTATAATATTGCATCTGTATTTCATCTTATATCACTGTATTCCAATCAAACGTACACTTATTCTGGCTAGTGGATCACTCCTTGCATAATTTTGACTTAAACTTGTCACCTTAATTCTACATTCGTGTCGACTTTTTTCAAAAATCTGGTAACAGATTAAACGTTATTTTCAAAAATTTTTTTGTACTACCTTTTAAATCGTGTAAGAGTTTTACTGGGTATTTTTTATTTTTATAAATATTACAATAATATTGGATCTATGTACAGGTTTTAGGCAAAGTACGTGATAAAAGCAGTATTATTTTTTATTTAAAAAAATAAGTATTTTGGTCTATTTCAGGATCAAATAATACTAGATAAACCAGAAACACCAGGAGAAACTCCCGATCCTCAAGTTCTTGGTCTTGGGGGACAAAGACCTTTGGGGTTAGTATTAAATATTGCCAATGAACAACCTTCACCACCAGCAACGGCTATTCTACCAAAAGTTGCAAAAAAAGGAATATCTGTCACACCACCACCAATTCCGCCAAGACTGGACCCAGAGGTAATTTTTATCTAACACATTACATAAATGCAATGTGTCTGGAATTTGATATTCACCATTCATAGTAAATGTCAATTTCAGGCACATTTTGCACCAAACTGGATAACACTTCTCACATGTAATACAGAAAATTCAGCAATATCTGAAACTCACATAACAATGAATGTAAATAATTCAGTGGTGTAAAACACTTTTTTTTTACAGAAATTCAATGTCCATCTGCAAAATATACATATTTTTTCAATTCAGCTGACAAAGATTAATTTACAAATAAATACAGTCCTTAGTAACACTTAAGGAGGATCGGGTGCTACGAAAAAATGCAGCCAATTTCTTATTATTGAGATATATTTTTGCAATGTGAAATCAAATTCTGTGTATTATCCTCGAGTTATTTATCGATTTGGTTTTGTTTTTAATTAATGCCAAAAAATTGAATATTTAACAGAGGTGGGCCAATAGTGTGAGAAAGTAAAATAACTCCCTTGTTATTCCTAATACAGAAAAAAGGTTTATATAAAAGTTGTACAGAATCAAATAACCTAAAGGATAAAATTAATTTAAAATACACAGGGCAATGAGTAAAAACGGGACACGCCAACTATTATATTTTTTAAATGGAACACCCTGTATATTATTAAACATTTGAATTTCCGAGAAAATTCTATATATGGCAATATAAACAGTTTAACATTTTAGTGCGGGGTTGCCAAGTTACGTAGAAAATTCTTCGAATTTTGGAAAAAAACATGACCTCAAAGAAGTTGTTTTAACTTTCTACTACTAACACTTGGAGCAAAAATATACAGAGTTATAGGCAAATGTTAGGCAAAGACTCCTATATTAGCTAATATCGATATTTTATACAGGGCATTTTTTATAATACGATCATTTTAAGAAAGTTCAAACTTGATTTTCTAAAATTTTTCAAATAGAACACTGTATTTTATTCTATTTTATTCACATAACAGTCCACTTCAACTTTTATTGAGTATGTTCTACACCTAAAGTTGTTAGTTTTTAGGATATAGCAACATTTCTGGAAAAACCTAATTTTTATTATTTTCGGTCGCACGAAATGGCTTTGGAAAAAACTGTCACATTGGATCAACTTTGTTAATTCATAATTTATCATTCCATTTTGAGTTAATTTTATTAGTTAATATTTATTTGTGGTGTTCTATAAAATAATAAAAATTAATTTCTTCAGAAATGTTGCTACATCTTAAAAACTAACAATTTTAGATATAGAACATGCTTAATAAAAGTTGAAGTGGACCGATATGTGAAAAAAAAATAGAACAATAAAATACAGGGTATTCCATTTGAAAAATTTTAGAAAATCAAGTTTAAACTTTCTAAAAATTATCGTATTATTAAAAAATGCCCTGTATAAAATATCGATATTAGCTAATATAGGAGCCTTTGTCTAACATTTGCTATACTCTGTTTAAATATTTTGTTCCAAGTGTTAGTAGCTGAAAGTTAATACAACTTCTTCGAGGTCATGTTTTTTCCAGAATTCGAAAAATTTTCTACATAACTTGGCAACCCCGCACTAAAATGTTAAACTGTTTATATTGCCATATATAGAATTTTCTTGGAAATCCATGTGTTTAAAAATATACAGGGTGTTCCATTTAAAAAGTGTAATTTTTGGCGTGACCCTTTTTACTCATCTGTAGGTATCAAATTAATTTTGTAGTTTAGGTTTCTTGATTCTGTATAACTTGTGTATAAACTTTTTTTCTGTATTATGAGTAACAAGGGAGTTATTTTACTTTCTCATACTAATGGCTCGCCCTGTATAATTTTAAGTATTTTAAACTTGATTCTATTCAATATCTACAAGCAAATTTCTCAACCTACTTACTTACTGGTCGTAAAGAATATTTTTTTTTGCATTGGCAGCAATAATTATTTAACACGGTAAGTATAGGGCCCCCCACGTCACGTTTCACTCCCCCGATGAAGTACCCGATCCTCCTTAAATAATTAATTTTTATAAGTGTAATTTAAATAATAGAGAAGACGATGTGTCTATATCATTGATTATAAAAAAAAATTACATGTGATATGGACAAAGAATGGTTTGTTTTGTGGCAGATACTCGTGTATCACAACTGCACCAAAACAAAAAAAAAAAGAATTAACGTAAAATTTTTCACATTTTGCCAAATTAACAAATTTTGCAAAAAAAAAGTGAAAAGAAACAATTTCTTAACTTACAGAGTGCTGCTGCTTTGAAAGAATTTGATTTTCTAGAAGATCAAGAAATTTCTCGTCCAGGTCCCCTTCTAATTCCATCTAAATCTATTTGTTCAGAGAAACTGGAGCTTCCTAGTCCACAACCTGTTATTGAGTTTCCAGATGATGAGGTATGCAGTGTTCTTATTTTATAATCTGCTTGTACATCACTTTCCGGGTTTTTAAATATTATCAAACCTGTCACAGTGTGCAGTAATTACATTACTTTCAAATAAGCGGAATGTCTGAATACACAAAAAAAGAAAAGTTGTCTACTTTTCATGCGACATATGTTATCTGTAGTATTTTTGCCTCCTGATCACGAATCTGGTGTCAGAATTGAGCTATCACATCACAGGAATTTCCTAACCGCAAAAAACTGGTAAAAATTTGCAAATATTCATGAAAAAGTGATAGGAAAAATACAAAAAAATTTTTTTTTCTATATTCAAATATTCATTTGTATAGCTAAGACCCCATCAAACGTGAATTAACGGTCAGAATTGATGTTTTTTTTCTAACCTCAAACAAAACGGGTCGATAAGTATCACGAATTTTCAAAAAATAACATTTGTGCCAAATTTGGTATACGGGGGTTTTCGGGGTCGCTGATCACGGATCCGGTGTCAATTTTGCAAAATTCAAGATGGCGGAATGGACGACCAAATTTTCAAAAAATAACAGATTCGCATCAAATTTGGTGGAAGTGGGTTTTCTGGGTCGCTGATCACGAATTCGAGGTCAATTTTGCAAAATTCAAGATGGCGGCCGACGAAATTTTCAAAAAATAACACATTCGCGTCAAATTTGGTATATGGGGGTTTTCGAGGTCACTGATCACGAATCCGAGATCAGATTTACAAAATTCAACCCATGAATAGATCTTTTAGAGAAAAAAGAACAAGATATAGCCGCAAAAAAAGTAGGTTATCACATGATTGGGTACTCGGGTTATAAAGTAAAATAAAAATATTACAAAATGAATTTCGCAATTCTGACCTCGAATTCGTGATCAGCGACCCCGACAACCCCCATATACCAAATTTGCTGCTATTCTGTTATAATTTGAAAATTTGGTGGGCCATTTTGGATTAGTCATCTTGCATTTTGCAAAATTGACCTCGGATCCGTAGTTAGTAACACCGAGAACCCCCGTATACCAAATTTGCTGCAATTCTGTTATTTTTTTAAAATTTGGTCGGACATCTTGGATCCGAAATCTTGAATTTTGAAAATTGACCTCGGATCCATGATCAGCGACCCAGAAAACCCCCGTGTACCAAATTTGGCGCGAATCTGTTATTGTTTGAAAATTCGTGATATCTGACTTTAATTGACCCGTTTTTTAGAGGTTAGAAAAGGAACCATTAATTCGGACTGCGGATTCACGTTGGGCGGGGTCTTAACTATATAAATGAACATTTGAATACAGAAAAAAATTTTTTGTATTTTTCTTAGTACATTTTCATGAAGTTTTGCTATTTTTTACCTGTTTTTTGAGGTTAGGAAATTCCTGTAATGTGATAGCTCAATTCTGACACCGGATTCGTGATCAGGAGGCAAAAATACTACAGATAACATATGTCGCATGAAAAGTACAGACAACTTTTCTTTTTTTGTGTGGCTGTGTAATATAAAAGTTTGACATGAGAAATAGTTAATAATATTTTGATATATACATTTCGTGGTTCAAGTGAAATTGATCCAATTGTAGCAATATTAAATTGTGACACCAAAGATAAAGAAAGAAAATACATAAGAGAAAAATATAGATTGCCATTTAAAATAAAAAAACCATACTAGAAATTATTAAATTAGATTTTGTTAAATTTTAACCTAATTACAGCAGGGCCTCGATAATCCGAACACCCAAAATTTATACCCTGTTCGGATTCACGAAGCGTTCGGATTATAGTATGTAGACATTTTGAAAGGGATTTTTCGAAATAAAACAAAAATATTTTACATTATAATATATTTATTTAAGTATGTACGTTAGATTTATGTTAGATACAATGCTATTAATCACATTTTTTAAAGAATTCCACTATAGTGCTTTGACGAGTAGTATTTAGCGACATAGAAAATGCTTTATCCCTTAATTTACGTAACAGCATTTTTTCCAGAATAGAAATGTCGACTTCATCTGCCCATTCCAAACAAAAAACGCACTGCGTATGGCACTGGCGAGACAGAAACTGTGAGAAACGGCGGTTGCGCAGGGGTAAGGGGGGTCGTTCGGATTATAGAGGCGTTCGGACTAGCTGGGGTACGGATTATCAAGGCCCTGCTGTACTTTTTATGCACAGCATGGTCTATTTTGGCTATCTTGATTATCTTTCGGTGTACAGAGAATTTCTTGGATTTAGCTGGTTCCTATATCTCGATTGTTAGGGGTTGTGAACATATCTAAAAAATGTTAAATAATTCTTACACGATTTCTACTGTAGAATACAATGGCATGCTGGATATTTTTATTGGTTCTATTTTTTATTTACCTTTAGAACAATATAGATATACAGGGTGTGACAAATTAGTAAGTCCAGCTGTTATCCACATATTCTTGGACTAAAATAATGGGACTTTTCTTATGCCATTTTTCATTTCGAAACACCGTTTTCAAAATAGAGGGTGTCAAATAAAAATTTTAAAAATGATTTTTACCGTTAGTCGGTGATTTTGAAGATATTTGTTTAAAATTTGGCACATATTTTTATCTTAAGTCGGTACACTTTGTGTGTAATTTTGGTGTAAAATATCAAAGTGCCAACGGAGGAAAAGGGGGTTGTTGTACCCTCGGACCCTCCAATTTTTTTTTCAGTATGCCTATGGTTTCACAATATATTTTTTTTATATACTATTATATGATTTTGATATGGGGCTGGTTTATGAAATATTGCTACTTCTTTGGATGTGTTAGGTTTAGCACAAATTAAATATCGCTAAGTATTAAATGGTAATTTTCATTTTATTCAGTAAAATTAAATAAACAAATGGTAAAAAAAAATTAAAGAAATTAATTCAGATAAACTAAATGTTCAATATCTGCACCGCCTTCCTGAATACATACTCGGACTCGTTTTAGGGAGAGAGTAACGAAAATTCTGGAATATATGTGGTTTCAGCCTAAAGTGCTCTGCACCTTGTACAATTCGTTCCATTAGCTGTTGTTCAGTTAGTATTGGAACCATATAAACGAAATACTTCATAAAACCCCAGAAACAATGTATAACGAGTTGGCGTCGGGGGAACGGGGTGGTCATTTAACAGGTGCAAGCTGTCCCCTGCCAATCCACTGACTAGGAAAGATTTCATTTGAGTCATTCTGAACATTACGACTGTAATGTGGAACCATCAGAGGCAAATCGTCAAGTACCTAAGTCTATAAAAGAGTTTAGTAAAAAAAAATAAAAAATCTTTAAAAGTTATATGGGGTGGTAAAAAAACTGGACCTAAAAGAAAATTATCCACTATTCCGAATTCCCGCCCATCCATTTACTTTAAAGTTTGTCTGATGATGCATCCCTACAAGGGCCTTTGGATTTTCATTGGCCCATAAATGGGTATTATAAATATTCATTACTCCCTAGCGGCTAAATTAACATTGGAATCACATTTTCCTATTAGCATTTCCTATTTTCCAAAAAAGTTGCAATATCTCGTAAACTGAGCTCGAAATCAAAATATTATAAGAGTGAAAAAAAAAAAATAGAATAAAAAGACGCTCTATCTAAAGAAAATATTTTGAAGCCATAGCGCATTCAAATGAAATTGGGGGGGTCCGTGGATACTATAATCCCCCTTTCCTCTGTTCGCGCTTTGATATTTTAGACCAAAATTACACAGAAAGTGTGTTGACTTAAGATGAAAACGTGCCAAATTTCAAATAAATATCTCCAAAATAGTCGGAGCTATCAATAAAAATCATTTTAAAAATTTTAATTTTAACACCCTGTAGTTTGAACATGGGTCTCCGAAATGAAAAGTGGCATAACCAAAAATTCCCAGTATTTCAGTCCAAAGAATATATGGTTAACGACTTGACCTACTAATTTGTGACACCCAGTATATATCTACACATTTTAAGATATCGACGTTTTAGTACGAAAACATGCTATCTCAGATTTCGGTTGGAAAACATGCTATCTCAAATTAAGCTTGGAAAACATGCTAGCTCAGATCTTTAAGTAAAAACATGCTATCTCAGTTTGACTAGAAATTTAAGTTGGCACATTGAATGATTGAAACCGTGCATTTATAATAAACTTATATAATATATTTCTCAAAAAGTAAGGAATATTTGTGTTCAGGTACACTGTTTATTTTATTTTTTTTATTCCACATTTTTCAATTAATTTTGTTAACTTACTGTTGTTATAAACGATAAACTTGTTAATTAAAAAAATAGAATAATATGCAGTATGCTGCAACACGTAACAGGCATACAAAATTATTTTCAGAATAAATTGTGCATCCCAGATTTTGTGAAAAAGAAAATAAAATGTATCAAGAGTAGCGACTATAAATCAGATAAGAGTACACTACTAATTTTGATATCAAAGCAAACTTGTATGAAAAAAAACAAATAATTTTTAGTAATAACAAACATTTTTATATTTTAAGGTATACACTATTTTTTAATAGTTTATTTCAAAAAACGTCGAGTAATGTACGTGTTGCAGCACACTGCATATTATTTTTTTTAATTAACAATTTTGTCGTTTATAACAACAGTAAGTTAACAAAATTAATTGAAAAATGTAGAATAAAAAGAATAAAATAAACAGTACCTGAACATAAATATTCCTGACTTTTTGAAAAATACAGGTTGTCCCAAAAGTGATGCCACGTCCTTCTGGGATTTGATTAAGGAGACAAAAACAAATCGAAAATCAAGAATGGAAAATTTTCCGATTGTTTTTCTTTGTTGAGTTATTCAAAAAACTAAAAAAGTGAAAATCTAATTTTTTTGTCTCAAATCTATGCTTATGGGGGGGACCAAGACGAATAATTTATAACCAGTAGTAGATAAGTATAGTTTCTGATTGTCGGTTGTACCTGGGTGTAAGGAATAATTTTAACCTGAAAAGGATAGAGAAAAACATTTTAATAATAAAACAATTTTATAAAATGGATAGGAAAAAACCATAACGTGCTTAAATAATAGAAATTGTTTTTACAAAAAGTGTTCAAATAAGTTGCCTTCTACTCTAAGACAAAGATAGGCATGATTCAACATTGAAGCTTGAACCCTTTGTAGCTTCTCTTGGTCTATTAACGCGGCAGGTGCGTGTATATCTAATCCACTCTTCTAATCCATCTGTCTGCGAAGTTTTGATTCAGATAATTTCATACTCGCAAACCATAATGTGATGGAGCTCCATCATGTTGAAACCAATATTTTGTCTAACTGCTAACGGAACGTCATCCAGCAATGGTAGTGTTAAGTTTTCATTTAAAAACATGCAGTTGCAGTAAATATCTACATCTACATAATTAAGTAACTCAGCCCAAATGTTTATTTCTAGATTTTTTTAAATAATTTTTTTGAATAACTACTAAGAAAAACAACAATTGCACGGTTTCAATCATTCAATGTAACAACTTAAGAGTCCATTCTCTGTACACTACTAAGGTATCGCTGCGGGGTCGGGTGCACGGGCGTTACGGCTGGAGGCGGAGACTATCGCTCTCCCACTACGATGATTTTACAGTGGACGTATTTAGATTGATTTAAACGAGCCACTAACGTTACAATTTTTACTTCAATAATTGTGTCAATTTAGAATTAATACAATTATTGTACCGCAATTGTACAAACAAATTTCATCGCAACACAAAATTGAATAACCGACATCCCACGGACGTCAATTCAACGCTCTTTCTCTTTTTTGGTTTTATGAAAAAAAGTTATTCTTATGAAGAGTTCTGCATGGCCTAAAACCCAAAATGAAATAATCAGATTTTAATTTTTTGCAGTCGTATACGAGGTTTGTCGAAAAATGTAAATTTTGCTCAAGAGTAAAGTACCTTTATTTTTTAAAATATCGACAATCGTTATTAAAAGTTGATCCAAATAGAAAACTGCGGTCAGATATTATTATATCTGACTATCCAATATTATCCATTTACCATTAAAAACAGATTTTGTTATTTTTACCTTTTAACTCTTCTCCGTATTAGCATTGATAATTTACGTCTAGAGATAGACATTAAATCTAACAGGTAAGGTAGTCGGATTTTTGTAATTTTTGATATTTATGGTACGTGTAGTTTGGACCTTCAATAAGAATTTTTCGAAGTAGTTCGACCCAACGTTCATAAATTACCGAGATAATCGATTTTGAAGTTTTACCTGACAGCTTAATTCACTAGATGTGACAACTTTCTTCAACTGGGAGCGTGGCCTAATAGGTAGCGTTCGGCACTGATAGTTACGAGATCGCTGGTTCGAGTCCGTCGCGTGACATTTTTTTTTTTTTCATAATGCACCATATGGTATTTTATTATTTTTTTTATCTCGAAAATTATGAACAAACGAAATATTATAATAAATACTTATATATATGTGGGAACATTCTTCAAATATTTCATTAAAATGCACAATTGGTTGATAAACAATATTTATTATGAACTAACAATAAGATTTCATTGAAAAACAAATAAACGAGGTCAGGTAGGATGTTCTTTTATTTTATATTTATGTTACTATTTGACATTTTACACAGTGTGGCATGAGCCAGAATAGTAGTTATCATAAAAAAATGGGAAGCAGAAATTTTTTTAGCATCTAGCTTCCTTTCTTTTTCTTTTTCTGATCTCGAAAATTATGAACAAACGAAATATTATGAGAACTGTATGTAGGAATATTCTTCAAGTGTTTAATTAACATTTTGAGCTAGGTTATGTGTTTAAAGAAACACGCCTGCTCGGGCATAAAAAGTTTCTGCTTCCCATGTTTCTATGATAACTATCATTCTGGCTTATGCCACACTGCGTAAAATGTCAAATACTAAAAATAAAATAAAAAACCTACCTGGCCTCGTTTGGTTTTTTTAAATAAACTTTATTGTTAATTCATAATAAATATTGTTTATCAACCAATTGTGCATTTTAATGAAATATTTGAAGAATATTCCTACATATACATAAGTGTTTATTATAATATTTCGTTTGTTCATAATTTTCGAGATGAAAAAAATAATAAAAAACTATAAGGTGCGTTTTGAAAAAAAAAAATGTGACGCGGAGGACTCGAACCAGCGATCTTGTGACTGTCAGTCCCGAACGCTACCAATTACGCCACGCTCCCAGTTGAAAAATGTGTCACATCTAGTGGATTTAGCTGACAGGTAAAACTTAGACGTTGTAGACGTTCGGGATTTAGCATAGAGTAATTTTTATCAAATCAATATAATTTTGGTACCATTTCAAAGCTAAAAGATAGACCCACTTCCCTCTTGTAAGCAATTTTTGATTTAAGCCTTTATTTTTACGTAAATAAATTGTAAATATGACGATTTCTTGCACAGTTTACTCTTTAAATTTAAACAATTAGAAACCAATTTTGAAAAAACTGTTACAAGACAGCTTTAGGAAAACACTTTGTCTTTTGATTGTTTTTTTATTTGCGGCGCTATGTTTATTGGTTTTCCAAATATGTGTTATGGGCCGAACCCTTAAAATGGGTTTATTTCAAGCAGGCGACGGACTCTTAAGTTTCTAGTCAACTGAGATAGCATGTTTTTACTTAAAGATCTGAGCTAGCATGTTTTCCAAGCTTAATTTGAGATAGCATGTTTTCCAACCGAAATCTGAGATGGCATGTTTTCGTACTAAAGCGTCGGTATACCCTATGAAATTATAAAAAATGTGCATTTAAAAATAAAAATTAACAGTTTGAGTGTTTGTTTTCCTAAAAGAGAAAAAAAAAACTTGACTATTGAATGTAAGCGTTCCTTTAAGGACGCATTGTTTATACGTTGATACACATTTTTTTTTATTGTTCTAGCCAACATATGTTTCAACAAGTATTATTACAAGAGAATTAAGCTACAGAGAGAATGTGTCTGATATAAGAAGCCAACCTCAGCATTCGGGAATGGGCATTGATCATTTTAAACTTATAAGCGTACTCGGAAGAGGTCATTTTGGCAAAGTTATTTTATCCCAGTATAAGAATACGGGAGAATATTTTGCTATCAAGGCGTTGAAGAAAGGAGATATTTTAGCACGTGACGAAGTGGAATCGCTGTTATCAGAAAAAAGAATATTTGAAGTGGCAAATTGCATAAGACATCCGTTTTTGGTTAACTTATTTGCTTGCTTTCAAACGGATGCTCATGTGTGTTTCGTTATGGAATATGCGGCGGGTGGTGATTTAATGATGCATATTCATGCCGACGTCTTCAGTGAACCAAGGGCTGTTTTTTATGCAGCGTGTGTTGTCCTAGGATTGCAATATTTACACGAGAACAAAATAATTTATCGGGATTTAAAATTGGACAACCTTCTCTTGGATACGGAAGGCTATGTGAAGATTGCGGATTTCGGTCTTTGCAAAGAAGGTATGGGTTTCGGTGATCGTACGGGGACATTCTGTGGGACGCCAGAATTTTTAGCCCCCGAAGTTTTAACAGAAACGTCCTATACCAGAGCCGTGGACTGGTGGGGTCTCGGTGTTCTTATATTCGAAATGCTTGTTGGAGAAGTAAGAATAATACTGTTACATTGAGAAAAATCCAATAACAGTACATATATATAATTTTTAGTCGCCTTTTCCAGGAGATGATGAAGAAGAAGTGTTTGATTCCATAGTGAATGATGAAGTTCGTTATCCTCGTTTTTTGTCCTTAGAATCAATAGCAATTATGAGGAGGGTAAGTAATTGATTTATTTTACTTTAATAAACTATCCATGGTACGGTATTATTCCGCCTGTCTTTGGTGCTTTGTATTTAGAAAAAAGAATTTACAGAAAACTTAATATTTTACTTACAGGCTGTTACAAATTCGCTTGTCACTACAGGAATCTCTGAGATACTAACTAGCTTAAATTTAGGCAAAGTTAGATAGTCAGGGAACCAACATAATGCCCTTAAAAAATTAAAACTAACATTAGTTTGCGAAATATTTGAAAAAAATCGATATTTTGGAAATCGGTTTTTGGGTGATATTGAAAAAAAAGAACATTTCCTCATGGCAACTTTTTGCCCTCTATCGAATGGCATAATCAGTTTTAATATGTAACGTTTCGTCTCTCCAGGACCATCGTCAACATTATTTTTTTAAATATGGCCCTGGAAATTTTATAACATTTTTTTCAAGCCTTCATGACCCCCAATACTGTATTGCTTCAGCCCGAATCAGATTCAGACTTTTTGTGTTGAAAAATTCATCATCAATGTATTCATTCCAAATTTATCTAATTTTTTTATTTAGATTTCTACCTTTAATGAATCATCATACAGTCTAAGTGTCGTTAGACCCTGTGAAATCCACCTAGTTATTTAAACCATTACCATCACCTGGTCATACATAACTCGATAAGTTGTTGCGTCGAAATTAAAACATTATTACAATTTTAATTTTATTATGACAAATTAATTCTTAAAAATGCATATGAACAACCAAAACTCCAAATGAATATTATACGCACTTTAAAAAATTACAGTAAATGTTCAAAAGCATTTCCGTTTTGGCAAATGTTGAAGATAAGCGTAATATGATCAGAATTTATTATATCTGTATCTGCAACTGTGAAATGTCAGATGTGTTTGTATGAATATCCTGAATAGACCAGGCAAGTTGGACAATAAATCAGAAAATTCTTTCTGATGAACCGATCGAGTTGCGGTTTTCGGCATTGTCTTCGGAAAAATATCAGGAAAAAAGTCTATCTATTACACTTTGGGGCTGGATCGAAACTGCATTGAGGGTGCATAAAGTGCATCTTGGAGTGCATCAATTTTTCCGAATGATCTAAAAATGTAAAAATTGACTAAAAGTTGTAGAAATTTGTGTGCACGGGTTTTCGGGGTCGGAGATTCCGAATCTGACCCTGAAAAATATGCCAGACGGCCCTGGGGCCCCCCAGGGGGACAAGGGGGGACCTTCTGTAAAACATTGAATAGCTGAGTAATTGCCTTCTAAATTTCCACTCGGGGGTTTTCGGGGTCGGGGATTCCGATTCTGACACTGAAAAGTATGCCCGACGTCCATGGGGTGGTCTTTCTGGAAAACATCGAAAGGCACATCAGATTTTTGCAATAAAACTGCTCCACCTGCTTATCAACTATGATCTTGTAGGCTCATCTTTACATTGTAACACACGTAAATTTACAGAGATTAGACAATACAAGAAGGGTAAGAAAAACTGACAGGAAATTAATGAGTCGAAAAGAATCACCTTTATTCTGAGAACTAATTTTCTTTTTATTTGCAAGGCAATTAGTGAGACAACTACTATCATATGTTTATCTAACACTTTCACTGTCAATCACAATTTTCATCATCAGTACTAGTGATGTGAGTGAAAATATATAACAAATTGATATATATCAATTTTTGATACATATCAGCTATTATATTTATGTTAATAGCTGATATATATCAATTTTCCCGCCATTTCATGAATAAAGCCAAATTTCAAACATAACCTTACATTTTAAAACTAAAAACTTGTGGTGTGGTAGGCTTGAGTTGGACTGTAGTAGCTCTTGGGTACCTGGAATATCTCCGTCAAAAATGAATATAAAAATCTGAAATTTTAGGGGTGTACTATAGATGGGAAGAACTAAGAGCGCACGTAATTTCAAGTCACCCCTTCCACCCTAGGGGGTGACGGGTGGTTTTTTTAGATGTACCCTACTCATTTTGCGAGTTTCGGATTCTATGCGTAAAACTACCCCCGAAAGCGCGTTCTTGCCGAATTCGCACAAAAACCAAACCACCACCCTCGTATGGATTTTGTCGTTTTTTCGATGAGCATTTTTCTCCTTCAAAAATAAATATAGAAATCTGAAATTTTAGGGGTGTACTATAAGTGGGGAGACCTAAGAGCGAACCTGATTTCAACTGGCCCTTTCCACCTTAGTAGGTGCAGAGGGGGTGAGGGGTGGTCTTTTAGACGTACCCCCAAGAACGCGTTTCTGGGGGTAGTTTTACGCGTACAATCCGAAAATCGCAAAATAAATAGGGTACGTCTAAAAAAAACCTTCACCCCACCCCCTAGGGTGGAAGGGGTGAGTTGAAATTACGTGCGCTCTTAGGTCTCCCCATTTATAGTACACCCCTAAATTTTCAGATTTTTAAGTACTACTTTAAAGCAGTTTCTTTATTATCATAAGTTTTTGATAATTTTTATTTCAATTTTTATCTTTAATTTTTTTTAAGTACGTATTGTGATATACAAAGACTAAATTTTCTTGTTCTAGAAATTTCCCATTTTTTATTTGTGGGTTGATAAAATTAAATTGCTAATAAACAGCGTACTTGCTTATAAACAGTCAGTAGTACGCAAAAAAAATTAGAAGTCATTATGATAAAAAAAATAAAAAATTCCAATCTAAATATGAAAAAAAAATAAAGATCACTTGATAACTTTTCTAAAAGTTCATATATACGACATGTATTTGGTGTCAAATTAATCAGCAAGGCATTAACAATATAAAAAAACTAATTTGAGTATAGTTTTTTTTAACAAAATTCATCTGATATATATTTTGATATATATCACCCAAAACTAAATAGCATGCTATTTTACATCACTAATCAGTACTGTCATCACTGTCTCCATCACTATCATCTATTACATTTTCGACTATTTCAGGATTGGAACAGTTGGTTCCAAAATAATTTGTACATACAATTGTGCATGTTATTCCATGCTTCCAGCTAAGATTAATGGATACTTTCCAGTGTCTGATTCGGAATCCCCAACCCCAAAAACCCCCGAGTGGAAATTTAGAAGGCAATTACTCAGCTATTCAATGTTTTACAGAAGGCCCTTCCTTTGCCACCCTGGGGGGCCTTAGGGGCATTGGGCATACTTTTCAGTGTCAGAATCGAAATCCCTCGACCCCAAAAACCCCCGAGTGGAAATTTAGAAGGCAATTACTCAGCTTTTCGATGTTTTACGGAAGCCCCCCTTGCCCCCTGGGGGGCCCCAGGGCCGTCGGGCATATTTTTCAGGGTCAGATTCGGAATCTCCGACCCCGAAAACCTGTGCACACAAATTTCTTTTAGTCAACTTTTACCATATTTTAAAAATTTGGAAAAATTGATGCACTCCAAGATGCAGTTTATGCACCTGCAATGCAGTTTCGATCCAGCCCCAAAGTGTAATAGATAAAACTTTTTTCCTGATATTTTTCCGAAACAATGCTGAAAACCGCAACTCGATCAGTTCATAAAAAAAAAATCTCCGTATTCTGGGTGATTTTGGTCTAACTTACCTGGACTAGAAGTATAAAACATTCATTAGGTGACACCCTGTGTTAAAAAGACTTGATTGTATTTTATACTTACTAATCCAAAAAGTGCCATTATACGTGCCATCAAATATTACTTTTAGGTGTAGCTTTTGAATTAACTTTCAGTAAACCAAATGGTCAATTTTGTACTTATTTAACTTTACTTAAGTTGAATATATTCTTAAAGGTTAATGGGCATATTCATCATATACAATTTAAATAAAACCATTTTACTTGACAAACAGAACAAAATTATTAGAGGAAAGAGGCACATCTTTCATAATAGGCGTGATGACAGATTTTAAAAAAATTTTCTGTGATGTTCGGAAGTATTTACTATTTCCAAAAAATATATTATTTCTGTAGAAAATAAGGTTTAGTAGAAAAATATTGACATTTTAATTTTGTCGCAAAAACGGTCGCCGGTGTCATGGTGTCTACGTGACGTCACATCTATGTTTGTCAACAGTAAACATAAGGTGCTAATATTTTGTGTTGCAACATTCATTAGTTAAATAAAAAAACAAAGTTGCCATAATAGTATATGCATTTTATTTATCCTCAAATTTACTTTGGCATAATAATGGATACACATTATCTTTCCATGAAGAGATTAAAATGATAAGAAAATCGGATACATACTCATCAAATGTAACATTAATTATTTTTACTTTTTTTTATTTGTACTGTAGTTGCAATCAGCTACATCGAGATAGCCCTTTTGTTAAATGCATTTGTAGCTGCCATCTGCACATAAAACTTCTGGGTCGGTTTTCTTTATTCCATATAATTTTTAAAAGTCTTCATATTCGTGGTACATTTAATTTCAATAATACTGTTTTCACAGATTCCTTCAGGCAATTCTGCCTTCGTGGGATAGTTTTTGCAAGGCATTATACCACATTTTTTAAATTTTTTCCCCAAACTGGTACTTACAGTTTTCCTCACTTCATCCTCCAACATCCCATCGCGTTTCATGGTCGATGCATCTGACATTTTTCCTCCCATTATTAACATGATTAGAGTTGCATCATTCGTTTTGCATCGACTAAATTCAAATGCTTTTCAGGACGTCACTCTGCCATATCTTAACTCATGCCAAAAACAGCTTTGATGTTGGTCTGGTCTCTTCTTCAACTCTCATGTCATCTTCATCAGTCAGTACGAATTTTTTCAAATATGTGTCGTAGGACTATTTGTATTTCAGCTCCAATTTATGCATGGATAAACTTTTGATTACAAAGGTGTCTTTTTCATATTTTATTAACTTGCAGTTGTTTGAGTTTTATTTTCTTTCCTTTTAGAAACTTTTCACGTAGCTAACGTTTCCTGATTATGATTTTGGTAACACAAAACTAAGCAACTGATAGTTGGGAAACACGAAATATTTAAACGAAGATAAATACT